CTCCTCCGACAGCGCGCGTTGCCTCTCACCTGACCGAAATTGCGGTAACGCCAATTTTCTCACAGTCTACCCCCGTCGTGCCCAAAATAACATGCTCGAATGTCCTGATCGTCGAGGTACGGGTACAACTCACAGTGTCGTGGAGGCGTACTCGGTCGCGGCGCGCTCCCGAGGACCACTTCGCCATGATCTGCCACGTGCTTCCCGCCGGAGGACTCGCCCGCCGATCGTATAGCTCATGGATTAGCGAGCGCCTCTCCCCCAGAGTATGTCCGAAGTGCCCTTAGTCATCGAGATGGGGTCATGACGGCCGCGATGCTGCGTCGACGCTCTATACCTGTCTGCCGCGCGCTGTCGCATCTTGATCGCCTATTGGCCGGACTCAGGGGACAGACACTTCGCCACGCGCCATACTCTGACCTACGTTCTTCCGAAGTGAAGGACGCCAGGATAGCCTGCCGCGTACCCCACTCATTCATCCACGCCGAGTTGCGTGTCCGACGGCCGACCGTACTCCGTCGTAACTCCCGTTCGTGGTCATTAGCCCAGCCGCACGGGTCGCCCGGTTTGGTCTCATAGATACTGGCACTCCGGCTTCGACGAGAACCAATTTGATGTTCATTCACCGAGCGATGGCACAACGCGCCCAACCTCATTCGAGATAAGCGCACCACCGAACGGTGACGCCGGAGTCCAGAACTAGCTGCAGTAGTTCTTCTGTCGCCGCCGTGTTCACGACTGTGCCTGCTACCGTTGATACCGGGAGTCTCAGAGCTGCGGCGATATTGGCGGTTGAGAACTCCCCCGCATGGGCCGTGATGCCCAGCCCAGCTTCGACGGCTTTATCTGCGCGCGTAGGCCCCCGCCCAATCTGCCTCGGAATCGTACGGTTCGGGTATGAAGTCGATCCCTGCCAGCCCACATCAGTCACGGGCCCGTCGGAGACGCACGAACACGTCAGTGTTGACCCAGCGCAGGAGACAAAGCGTACCGCACGGCATCGCTCTGCGCAAAGTAGGGAACTTCTCACGGATACGTCGTTCCGCCTGCGATACAAGACACTGTGTTGCGGGTCCAGTCCGTCCCCAACACGATCGTGCGACTTCGACGAGACATAGCAGCACCCTCACTGCGCAGCTCCCTCGAACACTCACGTGTCACACAGGAGTCGAAATAAACGTATTTCACTGCCAAGGCGTGCAGAGCAGGGTGTCGAGATCGCCGTTGAGCCGGTTGAGGCGGGGCATCCCGGGAGGCAGCTCCGCCAGGCGCTCGATCCAGCTCTCCCAATCATGGGGAGGACGGTAATTGAGCTTGGCGATCAGACGATCCAGGTGAGCATACGTCTCGGCGTGCCGATGAAGGTCCGCCTTGGGAATCTTCCGTAAGGCTGCCGAATGTTCCACGTACCACCTGCATTTTCATAGTAGCGCCGTGAATGCGGTCAGGCGGAATGATTACGCAGACACCGGCCAGCGATGGCCGCTTATTCCCGGGCGTCCTCAGCCCTGCGAAGGACTTCAGAGGAGTGGGACATGACCAGTATCGAGCTGCTGTAATTCCGACCTCGCGGCATATCCGGAACGGAGCAAAATTCCGGGGACTCCTTACCGCCTTCGCGGGGTGTCGGAGAAGAGCGTCGAGATCAACTGCCTGACGGTACTCATATCGATGTCACCGGATGAGGCGCGGCCACCCACCCATACGGCGAAAGTCCAATGAGCCAGCCAAGCACAGCGAAGGCCACGACTATGAACGCCGCGCGATGCGTGCAAGTACCCAGCACCAAACCGAGATATGAGGCCAGCCGTGATGCTGAAAACAGCCCTCAGATTGATCATGCTGTTCCCTACCTGGCGAGCACGGGCTCGTCCCGGTGCCGTCCATAACGGGCCGTGACCGACACGTCTATTACTGTCAGCCCCGTAAGTCGTTCGACAACTTCCCGGATGGCCACTTGGACATTTGCCGTGGCCTCCGGCAGGTCAGTCGCCATTCGCAGCGTCAGGTCGCACGCACCGCAGCCCCACCTCGGCGAAACTTGTGTATACGCGCACCATGGCGTCCACAGTCCACTAGCTTCTCACACCCCGTAGGAGGTCCGCTCCGTCAGCTCTCGTATGCTCTGCACCGATATTCGAACGTACCCTCGCTCATCGTCACTGAGCAGGACCGTCCTGCCCCCGCGACCGCGTCCACGCGATGCCAGTTGGAGGAACAGGACGGCGGCACCGGCCGCCAAAAATCCGATCGCTATACCAACGTCGGCCCACAGATCGGCGCCAGTGTCCGCGGCAATTCGCTCGATCTGCGGAACGAAGTATTCTCCGTTGATGTCTCCGACCGAGCGTACCGCTGATCAATAGCAGGATGTATACGCCCGCCGAGATCAAGACCAGCGCGCCGAGTGAAACAATGAGACGGTTAATAGCGTTCATTGTTTCACTCGACCGTTACCTGACCCTGGTACATGCTGCGCCTCTGCCAAGACCTGTTCAAGGCCCAGTCGTCGATTGCTTCGCTGGGGGTCTGGCAGCGGCCTGCCTTACGACGCATTTTCAGCATGTACCGGATCTTTACGGGGTCGGACCTCAGTTCAGTCTCGCCCTGGCGGACCGGTCCGGGAATTCGATAGACGTAACAACTACGTTGATCTCCTTCGCCACTAGTCCGACGTGGTCGAAGATCTGCTTGGCGACGGACTCGCGCACCTCTTTGACGATACCCGGAATGCTGTGCCCGTACATCACCGTGAGGTCGATGTCGAGAATCGCCTCCCGCTTGCCTGCCTCCACGTCGACTCCCGAGGCCTTGTCCGCCGCTTCGGATGACAGGATACTCGTCACGGTCCTCACAAGCCCGCCCCTGCGATGTTGACCACGCCTCTATAACTCGGCCACATGGCCCGCGATGGCGGCGATCACCCGTCCCTCGATCTCAGTTATCCCTGGCACTCCGCTAGGATTCTCGGTTGCGAACGGGAAGGCGTCTTCCCTTTCTTGTCCGTCAAACTGGCTAAGTTGGCTGACCATTTCGTGTCCTCCTTATGATGGCTTATGGTTGAACTTTTACAAAACTCTAGGTGTGTTTGGGATGGAATTCGTCATGCATGCGAGTTATTTAACAGGTTCCGCCGGGATAATGTTTTGGACGTTCCATCGTATGGTGTGTGTTACCCCAAGGGAGTAATCATTGGTAGGTGGGCGCTGTGGGTTAATTCCGGTTGCATGGCCCCGACCGGTGGGCCAAGAGCTATCAACTGGCGGCGGCTGCCCGCCCCAATTGCGTTGATTTCTTCGTTGGTGATCTGGCGATTACGCGCCTTACGATGCACTATGAAGTCTTCCCGTGGCCGGACCTCAGTTAACCCTCGCCCTTGCGGACCGGTCCGGGAATTCGATGGAGTTAACAACTATGTTGATTTCTTTCGCCACTAGTCCGACGTGATCGAAGATCTCCTTGGCGACGGTCTCGCGCACCTCTTTGACGATATTGGGAATGCTGTGCCCGTACATCACCGTGAGGTCGATGTCGAGAATCGCCTCCCGCTTGCCTGCCTCGACGTCGATTCCCGAGGCCTTGGTCGCCGCTTCGGATGACAGGATACTCGTCACGGTCCTCACAAGCCCGCCCCTGCCGATGTTGACCACGCCTTCTATACGCTCGGCCACGTGGCCCGCGATGGCGGCGATCACCTGTCCCTCGATCTCAGTTATCCCGGGTACTCCGCTCGGATTCTCGGTCTCGAACGGGAACGCGTTCGTTGTCTCTGGTCTCTCAAACTGGCTGACCATATCGTGCTCTCCTTTAGCTGAACATATTGCAATATCAAAAATACATGATTGGGGACGGATTTCGTCATACGAACGAGTAATTTCACGCGTTCTGACGGGATAGTCTTCCAGACGAACCCTGGTGGGATGTGTGTTACGCCTGGGGGGTAATCAGGGCTTAGACAGGCGGTACGCTTAAATTCGGGCCGTTAAACCCCGACCGGTGCGCAAGAGCCGTCAGCTGGTGGCGGTTCTGCACGTCGAGCTTACGGTAGATGTTACGCAGGTGGACCTTTACGGTGTTCTCGGTAACGAACAGCGCCTCAGCAATCTGTCTGTTTGTGGCGCCCTGGGAGGCAAACTCAATCACCTCCCGCTCCCGCCTTGTCAGCTCCGAAGGTCCACCCTTGGACAGGGCCATGGGGGTGGTGCTGGCCAGGTCTGACAGTTGGGTGGCCATCCGCCTGGAAACCAACACGTGACCCTGCGCCGCAAGACGAAGCTTACTGATCAGTTCGCGGGCTCGGAGGCGGTAGTGAGATACGCAGTCATACCGGCGTCTATCGCTTTCCTCAGATACGCGGGATCGTTCGACCCTGTCAGGGCGACGACGTTGGCGTCAGGAACGGCCTCAGCCAGCTTATCGACCACGTCTTTAAGGTCGATGTCCGGCAATTCAGGATCCAGGAGCACGACCTGCGGTGAGGTGCGCCGCGCTGCAGCCAGTGCGTCTTGTGCGTTAGATGCCGCCGCGAGCACTTCGCACTGACCGTTCTCCTCTAAGAGGAGAGTGAGCGCGCTGGCCATCGTCGGGTTCCGATGGACCAGGACCAGGCGAATCATTTTGTCTGACGTCATTGGTAGTACTACTCAAGCCGAGTGTCACCCTAAGTAGTACTACTGTCAAGGGGTTAATGCTACGGGATTCGATCACAACGCACAGGCACAACCCAGGAGTAAGAACGCGGCTGACGGCTGGAGCCCGGAGACAGCCGACACCGCATCACCTCTGGACCCGTCAGGCGATAATGTGGCGTCAATAGATCGCGTGAAGTGTCACGCGGCTTCGTCAGAGTTCCAACCTAAACGCATACGAGAAGATCGTCTGTACGGTCTGGAAGTGGTGGGCGGTGGAGGACTCGAACCTCCGACCTCATGCGTGTGAAGCATGCGCTCTAACCAGCTGAGCTAACCGCCCGGGAAGGTGTTGGTGGCGATGGGAGGACTTGAACCTCCGGCCTAGCGCTTATGAAGCGCCCGCTCTAACCACTGAGCTACATCGCCACAGGGCCTGGCAGCGCGCCAAGCAACTAACACGAATGGTAGCCACGCTACAGAGGCCGGTCAATTCAATCCAGGTCACTGCGAACGGTCCTGAACGCTGTTTGCGCCACCTAGAAGACGCTTCCTCCTAGCCTCGGCAGTCTTAATTATCTCCCGGAGCGAAGCCGAAGGGTCTCGGGTCTGGGGAGCGGGCGTTGCAGCCTGGAAGACGTCAGATTGTCCGGCTTCGCTCAGAATCACTATGGCCTTGCTAAGGCTGCACGAGGTGATGAAAGTGGGACGGCGTCGGACGGTATGACTGGCCGGTAGTCACTGGCGCTGCGAGGCCGTGCGGGGATCTACGTGACCCCGGTATTCGCGTGGCCCCGCGTCCCTGGATTCCGGGTCAAGTCCGGAACGGCGAGGGGGGCTGGCTCGATCACTCGGGGCATCCGGTCCGGCGTTGGCGCGTGACGCGCGGGAGATTCTTCGCTGCGCTCAAGAATGACAGGGGGGCGAGGGCGGGCCGGCCGTTGGACTGGGCTGTTTACAGAGGAGTGACATCGGGAGGCGCTCAGATCGTGCACGTCGTACATGCATGCGCCAGGAGCAGCAAAATGCTCGAGGGTGCGCCGGGTCACGGGGCGCTGTAGTCGCCGCTCTTGCCGCCGGACTTGTGGGTGAGCCTTATGTCGCCGATGACCATGGCGCGGTCGGCCGACTTGCACATGTCGTAAATGGTGAGGGCCGCGATGGAGACGGCGGTGAGGGCTTCCATTTCGACACCGGTTTTGGCGCGGGTCCGGGCGGTGGAGGCAACTTCCAGGCCGCTGCCGTCTGCGAGTGGCGCGATTTCGACGTTTACCTGTGTCAGAGGCAAAGGGTGGCAGAGCGGGATGAGGTTGGATGTTTGCTTGGCGGCCATTACACCGGCGATACGGGCGGTGCCGAGGACGTCCCCCTTCTCGAATCCGCCTTCCTTAATGAGCCGCAGCGTTTCGGGGCTCATTGTGACGCTGCCTTTGGCCTCGGCGACTCGTTCCGTATCGGGCTTTGCGCCGACGTCGACCATGCGGGCCTTTCCGGAGCTGTCGACGTGCGAAAGACTGGGGCTCGCGTCGCTTCGCTTAGCGGCGCCGCCGTTTTTGGCGTTTCCGTCGCTACGTTTGGCGTCGCTGCGGTTGTTGGCCTTCTTTCGGCCGCCTGAACTGCGAATTGCGCGAGCCTCATCACGGGCCAGGGTGTCGGCCAGTTCGTTCATGGGGTCGCCGGAGTGGCCGCGCACCCATTCCCAGGAGACTTTCCTATTGGCAACTACGTCGTCGAGTTGGTCCCAGAGGTCGTTGTTGACCTTTCGTTTCCAACCGCGGGTCATGGTCTTGATGACGTACTCGCTGTCGGACCACACGGTGACGTCTGAACCAGGCGGGGTTTCGTCGATACCGCGGATGGCGGCCGTGATCTCCATACGGTTGTTGGTGCTTTTGGGTTCGCCGCCGGCGAATTCAATGTGCGCGTTGCCGTGAATCATAACGGCTCCCCAGCCCCCAGGACCCGGATTGCCGATGCACGCCCCGTCTGTATAGACATCGAACTTGCCGCTCGAAGTAAAGTAGCGCTGCTTATTATCTTTCGTCACTTTTTCAATGACCCGTCGTTCCCGATGTTCTCCATCATTGTTCCCGTGTAAAGGTCTCTGAAAACGGGAACCTTCGCGAGGAAGGCCTGCGTTAGCCGCCTATCTGGAACATTTCTATCTTTTGACGGGGAGCGTTACGTTCCCCTCAAAGTCGGTGTTGGCGGCGCGCTCCTCGGAATACCGGTCGGACCGCCGCTCCCACACTCCGGAGATGATCTGTAGCAGTTCTTCGTCAGTGGCCCCACTCCGCATCGGCGTCTTGAGGTCCTTGCCGCCGGATGCGAACAGGCAGGTAACGAACCTTCCGTCCGTGGAGAGCCTCCCCCGCGTGCAGTCTCCGCAGAACGGCACAGAAACGGAAGCGATTACGCCGATTTCGCCGGAGCCGTCCGAGTAGCGGTAGCGGTTTGCCACTTCGCCCGGGTAGTTCGACGGGATGGGTTCGAGAGGGAATTCGGCGTTTATGCGACCGATGATTTCGCTGGCTGTAACAACCTGGTTGAGGTTCCAGCCGTTGCGGTTGCCGACGTCCATGAATTCGATGAACCGCACGATGTGGCCGGTGCCCTTGAAGTGACTGGCGAGGTTCGCGACAGTCGTCTTCGTTCACGCCGCGCTGCACGACGCAGTTGATCTTTATCGGACTCAGGCCGGCGCGTTCGGCCGCCTCGATTCCCTCGAGGACACGTTCAGGCCCGTAGTTCCGGCCGGCCATCTTGCTGAACGTATCGGGGTCGAGGCTGTCGAGGCTCACCGTGACACGTTGCAAGCCGGCATCCTTTAACGACTGGGCCATCTTTGCCAGGAGGAAGCCGTTCGTCGTAAGGGTCAGGTCCTCGACCGTTTCGATCGCCGCCAGCCGTTCGATCAGGTTGGGCAGCTTGGCCCTTACGAGCGGCTCGCCGCCTGTAATTCGCAGCTTGCTCGCCCCCAACGACCCGAACAGCCTGGCGAGTCGCTCTATCTCTTCAAAGGTGAGGATTTCCGGCCGCGGGAGAAACTCATAGCGTTCTCCGTAGATCTCTGCGGGCATGCAGTACGGGCATCGAAAATTGCACCGGTCGGTAACAGAGACCCGGATGTCTCGCAGGCGTCTGCCAAACCGGTCTTTCATGGACGCGCCGGGAGATGCCGCGGAATTGTGGGGGTGGTGGTCATGTTGATTCGACTTTGCCCGGCGTTGCCCGAGACGCCTTTGGAATGAGTCTAACCCCGATGGCGACCCGCGACCAATTATGCGAGCGTCGCCAGGAATCTCGACATCGCAATTGCCGCCTTGCCGCGGTGGCTCAGGGCGTTCTTCTCCGCCGCCGTCAATTGGGCCATTGTCATCGCTTTTTCGGGTAGCCAGAAGACCGGATCGTACCCGAATCCGCCTTTGCCGACCGGCTCGTGGCATATGGCGCCTTCGACAGTTCCGTTCGTGGTTTCAAGTATGTCAGCGTCCGGCGGGGCGGCGAGGGCGAGCACGGCGCGAAACCGGGCGGTCCTTTTCCATCCGGGGACGTGGGCCATGTTTGACAGCAGCAACGACAATCTGTCTCCGTCGTCGAGGTCCGGTCCGCCGTACCGCGCCGACAACACTCCCGGCGCTCCGGCCAGCGCGTCCACCTCCAGCCCCGAGTCGTCTGCGAGCGTCAGGACGCCGGCGAGGCCGCAGTAAGTGGTAGCTTTAAGTTGGGCGTTTTCCTCAAAGGATGAGCCCTGTTTCAGGCACATCGAGGCTGATGTCGAAATCGTCAAGGTCGGCAAGTTTGAACGGCAAATCAGCAAACAGATTGCGGTACTCTCTGATCTTTCCGGAGTTTCGGGTTGCGATGAGCAGTGTTTTCACGTCACTCTCCCTCAGGCCGACCGGAGCAATCCGGGCATTCCAATTGGCTGTAACAGGTCGCCGGGGCCATTGCGCGGCATAATGGGCAATGCTATGCTCAGCGCGTTTGTTACAAATAGCACAATCGGCGCCACAGGCGCTGGGCGAGCCGACAAAAACCGAAGCGAAAGGACCTCCGTCCCGCCGCTTTCCCGGACGGACTCACAGCCAGCTTTGATGTCCCTCATTCGTAGTGTGACCGGACGCCCGGGCACTGCACTAATTCCATTAATCCTGGTTGCTTTTGTAGCAATTCTGGCTGCCTGTACGCCGTCTCACGATCAGTCCACATTCGACACCGCGGGCCCGATCGCCAAGCAACAGGCCGACCTGTTCATTTTCATTTTCTGGGTCGCCGTCGCAATTTTCATCCTCGTGGAGGGAGCGCTCATTTACTCGGTATTCCGGTACCGGTCGCGGCCCGATGACAAGATACCGAGGCAGGTCCACGGCAACACCCGCCTTGAAATCACCTGGACGATTGTTCCTGCGTTCGTCCTTTTGGCCATCGCCGTGCCGACTGTCAAAGCGATCTACGATCATGCCACGCCTCCAACGGACCGGGGCGAGCCGCTGGAGATCGTCGCCATAGGCCACCAGTGGTGGTTCGAGTTCCGGTATCCCAGCCTTGAGATCGTGACCGCCAACGAGTTGCACATACCGACCGACCGGCCGATTGTGGTGACGCTCCAATCGCAAGACGTCATCCACAGTTTCTGGATACCCAAGCTGGCGGGCAAGCTGGACATGGTCCCGCTTAACGACAACGTCTTCTGGTTTCTCGCTGAGCGCCCCGGCATGTTCTACGGACAATGCGCCGAATTTTGCGGGGTCGCTCACGCCCACATGCGTTTCCGTGTATTCGCATCGCCGGAAGAAGAGTTCGGACAATGGGTCACGGCGATGCGAACGCCTCCAGACGCGCCCGAGCCTGACAGCCCCGCGGCGTTGGGAAGGACCACGTTCCTCGCCAACTGCAGCATGTGCCACTCGGTCGACTCATATCGGAGCGGCGGATACGGGGACGAGATCGCGGCGCAGGATCTGCGCTGGGATACGTTGGTAGAGCAGCGTGAAGAATCGCCGATAGTTTCCGGCCCAAACCTGACACATCTCGCCACGCGAAACGCGTTGGCCGCGGGCGTGGTCCCGTTGACCGAAGAAAACCTACTGAAGTGGATCCAAAACCCCGCCTCGATCAAGCATGGCACCCGCATGCAAGCGAACGCTGCGGTCTATAAAACCAGCAATAATCACGTCGATCTGACCGACGAAGAGTTGGGCAACGTTGTTGCATACCTCTTGTCGCTTGAGCCGGGCGAGGGTGGGCCGGCGGAAGCCATCCCTCCGTCAGAGAGCGGCGAGCCTGACGCAGCGCGGGGCGAAGCGCTGTTTGCCGCCAACGGCTGTTCGGGGTGCCATTCGTTGGGCGACGATATGCTGGTGGGACCCGGACTCAAAGGCGTGGCCGTACGGGCCGCTACGAGGGTGACGGGGCTTTCCGCGGACGAATACCTGTATCAATCGATTCGCGAACCTGCGGCGTTTGCTGCTGAGGGATACACCGCCGGCGTGATGCTCAAATTCCCGTCGTTGACGGACGGTGACATCGCCGACCTTATCGAGTACTTGAAGACGCTGGAATAGGCTTGGCGCGGTAAGCTTTGACAATGAACGCGAGAACGAGCATGAATCCCATGCTGAGAACTGGGGAGAAAAAGTGACAACAGGCACACTAACACTCCCGAGGATCGTGCCGCGCCCGAAAAGCAACACCGGCATATGGAGCTGGATCGGCACGGTCGATCACAAGCGCATCGGGACGCTGTATTTCTTCACGTCTATCTTCTGGTTCATGATCGGCGGGGTAGAGGCCCTGATCATGCGCCTTCAGCTGTCTTCTTCGGAGTCGGGCCTTGTGTCTCCGGAGGTCTTCAACCAGCTGTTCACGATGCACGGCACGTTGATGGTGTTCCTGGTCGTGATGCCGCTGAGCGCAGCGTTCTTCAACTGGCTCGTTCCCCTGCAGATTGGCGCGCGCGACGTCGCGTTTCCGCGGTTAAACGCCTTCAGTTACTGGCTCTTCCTGTTCGGGAGCCTGCTGCTCAACACCAGTTGGCTTGTTGGGGACGCTCCGAACGGCGGCTGGTTCGGGTATGCGCCCAACTCCCAGACGCTGTACAACCCGTCGAACGGCATGACGTTCTGGGTGATCAGCCTGGGGGTCCTGGGGGTGGCGTCGATCGCCGCCGGGCTTAACTTCATCGTTACGATAATCAACCTGCGTGCGCCGGGCATGACCATGTTCAAGTTGCCTGTGTTCACCTGGATGACCTTGATTACGTCGGTGCTAATCGTTCTGGCGCTGCCGGTTCTTGCCGTTGCCGGCATTCAGCTACAGACTGACCGCCTTTTCGGCACGAACTTCTATAACCCCATCAACGGAGGCGACCCGGTCCTGTGGCAGCACATGTTCTGGCTGTTCGGCCATCCCGAGGTGTACATACTGATCCTTCCTGCCATGGGGATCGTGTCGGACATCCTGCCCGTCTTCTCGCGCAAGCCGTTATTCGGGTATCCATTTGTCGTCTTTGCGGGCATTGTGATCGCGTTCATGGGCTGGTTCGTATGGAGCCACCACATGTTCACGGTCGGCCTCGGTCCCGCGGCCAACTCGGCATTTGCCATATCGACGATGGCGATCGCCATTCCCACAGGCGTCAAAGTGTTGAACTGGCTTGGGACGACCTGGGGCGGCTCGCTTCGACTTCACACGCCCATGCTATTTGCGCTGGGATTCATCGCCATGTTCACGATAGGCGGACTGAGCGGCATAATGCACGCATCCGCCCCAAGCGACGCCCAGCAGCAGGACACCTACTTCGTTGTTGCCCACTTCCACTACGTCCTGTTCGGAGGGTCAATACTCGGCATATTCGGCGGCATCTACATGTGGTGGCCGAAGATGTCCGGTTGGAAATTGAGCGAAGGGTTAGGAAAACTCAATTTCTGGCTGATGCGGATCGGCTTCAACCTGACATTCTTCCCGATGCACTGGCTGGGCATGGACGGCATGCCCCGGCGCGTCTACACCTATCCAGCCGACCAGGGTTGGGACGGCTCGAACATGGCGGCGACCATCGGCGGGTTCCTGATCGCGTTCAGCGTCCTGGTATGGGTGATCAACGTAATCGTGAGTTGGCGCCGCAATGATCGGGCCGGGGCCGACCCGTGGGACGCGCGTACGCTCGAGTGGTCGATACCGTCCCCTCCGCCCCACTACAACTTTGCCGAGATTCCGGTGGTTGAACACCGCGACGATTTCTGGTTCAAGAAGCATCCGGAGTTGGTCGAAGAGTATGAAGGCCACCACGGCCCGAGAGGCGCGCCGGGAGGGAGCACAGTTCGACGACGACTTCGATGAAGCCGAAGACGACGATATGCACGCGAGCCACGACGGTGAGGATGCCGGCGGCCACGGAGGTGGCGGCTATGGCTACGGCGGCCACGATGAAGACGACCACGGGCACGGCATCCATTTGCCGGACATGTCGTACTACCCGTTGGTCCTTGCTGCGGGCATCACCAGGACGCTGGCGACTGCCGGGTGTCACACGAGGAACTGGGTATCGGCATAGGCGGCGGATTGATCATCTGGGGCCTTCTGGGATGGTCGTTCGAGCCGGTCAACGACTGACACTACGTATTCCATTGACGAGCAGAACGGGACAGAAACAACGTGACTGAAGCGACACACGTCGCACATGAAGAGCCGCTGGAAGACACGTCTACCGGGCTGAATAACAGGAAGCTCCTGATGTGGACCTTCCTGGCATCAGACGTGATGTTCTTCGGCGCATTCATCGCTACGTTTCTCGTCTACCGCAACCGGAGCCTCGAAGGGCCTTACCCCAACCAGGTGCTGGACATACCGTCACCTCGGTCAGCACGTTCGTGCTTCTCATGAGTTCGCTGGCCATGGTGCTGGCGCTGGACGGCATACGGCGCAACAATAAAACGATCGGCCGGTTCTGGATTCTGGCCACCGCTTCCCTGGGTTCGGTTTTCCTGGGCTTTCAGGTGTTCGAGTTCAACGAGTTCGTTCATCTGGGGCTGACACCCCAGACTAACCTGTTCGGCACGACCTTCTTCATATTGACCGGTCTGCACGGAACACACGTTACGCTGGGTGTGATTTGGCTGTTACTCATGGCCCTGGTGTTTTCGCCCTCACCCCTGGAACGGTGGGGCCTCGTGCTTGCGGTTGCGGGCTTCTATGCGTTCATGATTTCGACGTTGAGCGGAATCTTCACCGGCGCGGACAGTTCCCTGGCGGTCATCACGACACTCACCGGCTGGCCGGCGATGGTGTTGCTCCTGCTGGCCATCGTGGGCATATTCGGCGGGCTGAGAATACTGTCGACCGCCGGCAAGGGTGACAAGTCGAGCGACGGGGCCCTGGACCTTGAAATGGCCGGGTTGTACTGGCACTTTGTCGACATCGTCTGGATCGTTATCTTTACCGTTATTTACCTGATATCGGCTACGGACGGCATGCCTCCGGGCAGCATACCGTTCGAACTCCCCGGCCACGGCTAGACGAAGCGGGTTATGGGCTTAATCACACGCATTTGGAACTCGATGTTCTACCATGGCGCCAACGAATGGTGGAACCTGCCCAGGACGCGGGCGCAGCAGCCGCACCCGCCGAATGAAGGGCCGCTAGGGCAGATGCCGGCGCGCATCATGCGCTGCTGAATGCCGCGACCTCGGGCGACCACCACGCCACCCCGTGGTTCTATGTGTGGGTAGGCGTGATTCTCGCGATAATCACGCTGGCAGAGGTGTGGATATTTACTTTTGAGACGCTCGGGCCGTGGTTCGTTCCGCTGTTGCTCATACTTTCGCTCTTGAAGTTCATCATGGTGTGTGCGTTCTTCATGCACCTGCGATTCGACAACAAGCTTTTCGCCTGGATATTCGCGCCGGCTTCACAATCGGCGTGGCCGTTTTCCTGGCGATCCTGGCGCTTTTCTTCAAACTTAACGGCTGATCCAGCCGACTACGAACGGCTCTTCCCCTCGGGCGCCGGACAAAATACGGCGCAGCGTCGATTGGTGCTACTTTGAATTTATCGGGGACTGGCGCGGGCGCGCCCGGAATACTTCACCAGACCGCGTAATCGATGGAAACAACCCACACATTCATCGACTTTTTAACGGCGTGGACCTTACCTACACAGCCCCATCGCCGTTTCTGCCACTGCTTACGCTGTCGACCGCGGCATACTCGGTGGGGCTGGTGAGGCTCAGATCGCGGGCTCGTGGAAAGTCGGTCGATCGCTGGCGAGTTTCGATGGGCTACGGCGCATTCCTGCTTCTCGCGTTGGCGTTGTTCGGCTCGACACCTACGCCGACTACCTACTGCCACTCACCTGTTCCTGGTGCATATGCTGCAACACCTGACCCTGGCGCTGGCGGCCGCTCCGCTGCTCCTCATGGCCGGTGTGATGCCGGCCTTTATGTGGTCGATGCCCCGGGTGTTCCTGCGGCAGGGCGTCGGCGCGGAATTTGCAGTGACGGGCATGGCCAGGCGCGTCGTGACGTTTGCCACGCGACCACACGTGGCCCTGTTGACGTTCGTCGGAGCCCTTTGGTTCTGGCACATCCCCGACTTCTACGACGCCGCGGTGCGCAATGAACTCATCCACCTGGTGGAGCATATGTCGTTCTTCTTGGGGGCGCTGCTTTTCTGGTGGCCGATCATCGGGCCGGCGCCGGTCAGGTCGGCCCTCAGCTATCCGCAGCGTTTGCTCTACCTGCTCATGGTCGTGACGCCGTCGCAGTCCTGGCGGCCTGGTAACGCTGGCTGGGAGCTCGATCTACGAGTCGTACGACGGATCGAACGAGGTGTGGGGCCTCGATCCTTTGAGCGACCAGCGAATCGGGGGTGTGATCATGTGGGTGCCCGGCAATTTCGTCTACCTCTTTGACGATGACGGCGCTGTTCTTCAAGTGGTACGAAGCGAAGAGCAGAAGACGCGGTCACAGCGCCCCCGGCGTCGCAGACGAAGGCAGCGACGGCCGGAGAACACAGATGACGACCGATCTGCCTGAGACGTCCGGCTTTACCGGCACGGTCGCCGGCAGGGTGCAGGGCGTCGTTCAGGTACTTTGTAGCCCGCTCCGCCCGCGGCCTCGGACTGTCCGGCTACGTTCGCAACCTGCCGGACGGCACGGTGGATAGAGGTAGCGTAGCCAGCAGAGAGCCGCGCAGCGCGGACGCGCTAGGCAGCGTTGTCGCTACGAGAGGGGCCTCGGGCCATAGCTCGACTCGGTCAAGCTGGACTGGTCAACCCGGCCTGACGAAACAGGCAGGTTCGACGTTGGTTTTTAGGGGGCGCTGGTAACGCGGAACAACAACGCCAGGATCGATCTTCATCCCCTGCGCCGACCTCCACGCCTCTTCCCTGACCCCAACCAGGGGCCTATCCAACACCACAGATCCGTCCCCGCACACGCGCAAAACCATCCAAGACCCCGCTCCTTCATTCACGAGATACAAGAGAGTGTTTCACAAGTCCCCTCGTTGTCTTTCCGGTGAAGGCCGAAGAATGGTGATGCATTTGTGGTAATGTCGTCGGAGATCCCGATCGGAGTCGGGGATGACGGGTTTTGTGGGTTGCGGCTTTTGGATGGAACGGGGATGGTGGGTGTCCGGGGTTCGGGCCAGGGGAAGGGCGCGGGAGGAGCCAAGATGTAGTGCCGCGCGTGACGCGAACCGTACGGTCTGGCACTGCACTCGTTCTCGGCCGTGAACTTGATGGCGATCACGTGTGGCGACGTGTTAAAATTTACTACCCGTCGGTCCGGCTGATCAATCGCGGCTAAGAGGCCGCAGAAACAGACTCGGCGTCGGCTGACATATCGAAGAACAGGCACGCGTAAACATAGACAGATTGCTGGAGCAGGCCGGGTGGTCTGTCCAGGATACCGACTCCTTAAACCTGTACGCGGTACGCGTAGCGGCGCGCGAGTTCCCGATGAAATCGGGTCACGGCCACGCCGACTACTCTCTGCTACGTCACCGAAGTCGGTGGGCCGTCGTCGAGGCTGAAACCAGCGAGAGGGATTCATCTTTGACTGGGCGTGGACGCGCAGTCCGAAAAGTACGGGTACGAGCGCCGGCCCGGCCCGACTCACTATACCGTCCTACTGCGACCGGCGCTGCGTTCCTGTACGAAAGCACCGGCGTGGAGACCCGGTTCACGAACGGGCTCGACCCCGAACCCCGCAGTCGCCCGGTGTTCGCCTTTCACAGGCGAAATCCTGGCAGAGTGGATCGGCGCACAGGACAGCCGCGAACCCGCTGAACGAATGGCCGGTAGCGACAGCTGACTACCCGCGCTGCCAAACCTGCGCCGCCGGTTGACAACATGATGCCGCCATTGACGCTCCGACTGTGGCGGTGCGAAGAGCGAGCCATACGCAACCTTGAAAGGTCCCTTGCGGGGGGGCGTACGCAGACATGGTGCAGATGGCCCAGGCAGCGGCAAGACCTTTCTCGCCCCTGCAACCGATATACGGCTCGTCAAGAGTAC